CTGCCAGTATAAATTCTGTGTTATTCTAATACCCATCCCACATATGTCAAGGTTAACGAGCTGTTCCAACAGTTCTTTGTGACGTACTTTATCAAACGCTTTTGCATAATCTATAAAACTCAGGTACATAACTCTCTGCATTTGTATTGTTCTTTCTGATATCATTCTGAACATAAATATTACATTCCTTGTTCCAGTGTCATTAAGGAACCCGCACTGTTCTTGTCCTATTTCCTGTCTATGCACTTTTCATCAGAAGAATTCAGATAATAATTTTTGTTATACAGCTCTTGTGCTGATTGTTTGATAATGTTCATATTCGTTTGCACCTGACTTCTTGGGCAGTGCTAAGAAAATGGATATATTTAGATCTTCCGGTATATCACCACTGTTGTATATTTCATTTATTATGTATGTAATTTTGTCGATGCCGAAATCCTCTAAGGTTGACAGCATCTCTATTACAATTCCATTTGGTCCTGCTGCTATGTTTCTGCTTAATTTGACCAGTGCCAATTCCATTTTAAATTTTAATATTTCTGGTCCTTCAATATTTCTCTGTATTGTTGTTCGTCGTGGAAGAGTTTTTCGATATATTCGTACCATCTCTGAAGTATTTTTGCTTTCTCTAATATCTGTGGCCCGTCTTTGGATTTTATGCATTATGTTCATAAGTATGTTTTTTATCTTGTTCTCTTTTTTATGCATATCTTCTTTATCTATGATAATTATTCTTTCTATTTATACGCATTTTTCGTTAAACCATTTCTTTTTAGCGCGCCTGCTTTTGTTTCAAATTTCCTTGTGCCTTGTCATGTATTCTGTACCGCACTTTAAAATTGTTTTTCGCTTATCTTTCATCATTCTTCTGTATTTTGTGCTCTCAGTGCGTATACAGCTATGATGAATATTTTGAAAGGCTTTCCTTTCAATTTCACGATAGATAGTTGATAGTATCCCAGAACACATTTCTTCATGTCTTATTCTAATATCAGTCCTACTTCTTTTTCATTTTTCTCTCCGTCTGCATATATAATCCTGTGTTTGTCATTGACGAAATCTCCAATGTTTACCCATGTCGTTTTGCATACGCCTAAAATATTAACATTTAACTTGTTCATTTCCTGCTTTATATTTTCTTTTGGCCACATTGATTTGGTGTCCTGACATTCCATGTCCTGAGAATTATTTTTTATTTGATGCGATGACGGTCCAGTGATACATGTCGCTCATGTCTTCCTTTACCGGGCGAAGGATCAATTTCAAGGAGTTTGACTCTCTTGTTCATTTTCCGCTTTTCTTTCACTGTCATCATAATGTCTTCATGCGAACCAAAGTGTTTTCTGATAGTTTTTTTTCTGATTTCTCATTAACGCGGTTCTTGTAGGACATGGGTTTCCAAAGTAGTCGATATCAAGCACTAGGCATCAATAAATGTCTGGAGGTTTAAAAAGTGGTCGGTAAATTCTTGAGGTGGTAAGAAAGTCGACAAATATCTGATTTGCAAATCGAAAATGCAAGCACCAAATCTCACAAGAGGAACTAATTGATTTATTTGCGTGTATCTCGACGCTAAATTGTTCAAAAGTTGTTGTAACCTAGGAAAGGTTACTGAGAGAGGAATGATCAAAACGGAGGTTAGAAATGAAATGATAATATTTATAACATCAACAAAATACAATACTCGCCAGCGACGTGAAGTAGGTAAACCACTGCAAGTGGTGGACTACTTAGACAGTATATTACCCCCACTTACAATAGTGTCCAACGTATTTATGTGAATTGAGATATACCCATTAGTGTTCATAGGTACGGTATATAACAAAAGTAAAAGCCACACTGACTACTGGAGTAATGTAAATACTACTACTGCTAAATACCCCAAACTTAATGAAGCAGTTGAGCTATCTTTACTTGTGTTCCCAAATTCGTATATGGTTGAAGCTGGTCTTAGAAACGTAAATGCAGTTCTCCTTAAGCAGATGAAAAGAATGAAGCCAGAAGAGCGTGATGACTTCCGACTAAAATTCACGAATTTCCAACCTAATATCAAAGCCTTTGTAACTGTTTATCAAACACAACCATTCATGATGTTAGCTAATTCAATAAAAAGTTATATTCATTTATTTTTAATGTGTTTATTATTATTTATGAACTCATTATTATTATTATTGTTTTATTTCCTTGATTTCTGGTATGTACTCATTTCTTTCCAGGTCCTGAAATTCGGTTAGAAATGGCATCATTACATTTTCCACTGAGCAATTTTGAAAAAAAAAAAATACAAAATCACACATTTTACATAGATAAAGCTTTTTGTAAGGTGTAGGCCGTATTTGTGAGAACAACATTTTGTATTTCTTTAAGGCATAGGCTACCCGGAATCCCTTCAATGATTCTATTGGAATCTTTTCGAATCAATCTTTGAGCTCCAACTACAACTGGAATTATTAATGTCCTCATGTGCCACATTTTGAAGATTACGATCTTAAGATCCTTGTATCTTGATAGTTTTTGAAGATCTTCAAAGATACATTGCAATCTGCAGGGAGTGCCATATTAATAAGGAAGCACTTTTTGTCTTTGCGGTCCTTAATCACAATGTCAGAGCGATTAGCTTTGTGACTATTCTGTCTGTGAGTATTGTGAAGTCTCATAAAATTGTTATAGGTCTCATCTCTGTAACTCGGTCTGTGTGATGTTCATACCAGTTTCTTTCCTAAAAGTTGTATCATTTCCAGTGTAGATATTAGCCCACTCTGTCATGTTGATTTCTATATTCAGTGGGTGCTAACACTGCAACCTGATACAAAATGGTCTAGAATCTGCATTTCGGGTTAACACAGTTTTCAGTATGTGTGCTTAGTAATTTCTAGTTAGCAAGCATTGGCCTTGTGCAGCAGGAATAAAAACTTCAATTTCCGTTTTTAACCCCGCACTACGTAACCACTGATGCGTACGGGGTTTGTCTACATCAACTTGTTTGGCACGGTCAAAGTATTGTCCATGAAGACCTTGTTATCGTTTTTGAATTTAGTACATTGCATTTGCTTTCATCTTTAGTTTCTTTGCCGCTGCAGTAGATGTTATTATGGTTTAGTTGCACTTCTTCACCCACTTGAAATTATTATTATTATTAACATTTTGCTTGTTCGTTAGTACCTAAGTTAGTTAGCACGTACGTTACTCCCTGCCATTATCTCAGATAAACAATGGGCCATTCCTATTTAATGAAAAAGTATTATTTTGTTTAATTTATTCATTATTACCTATATTATTTATGGCGTTTCTCATCATCATGATGCAAACATGCAGCTAGACCCAGGGGTGAACCAGGACTGGTTCCCGCGAACTCAAGCATGATTTCTAATATAGACTAGCAACTGGAACTAACCAATATCCGTTTTTTTGTCGCTTGACCTCAACTCCTTTTCTTTTATATATTCGTCCTCTTCTTCCTCTTCGGTCAAGTGGGTGTCAATTTAAAAAAATCCCGTCTGCAGGCTATAAAACAGAATACTGTTCTATGTAAGTGTCATCCATAGTATCACTATCATTCTTCTTCTTCTTCTTCTTCTTCTTCTTCTTCTTATTATTATTATTATTATTATTATTATTATTATCTAATTACGCGTAGTATAGGAAGAGAAATAGAAATTGAAAATGGAATAACAAATGTAAAGCAAAAATTAATTTTATCGAGAAACACTAATGAAGGAAAAGGGCTAATGAATTTCTACCCTTAATTAAAAAAAAATATAATTGTTATTATTTTTTACATTCGAGGGGATTAATGAGGAATCAATAATTCCATGAAAGGATCAATGGTCTAAAACGTCTGGGGATTCCTATTGTAGAAAATACAAAGGAGCTTTCTGAAGAATCATACTTTCACAGATTGAATCCATCTCTGTAGCTCTGCTCTAAGCGCCCAAGACTCGTATAAATACAGTTGTTCCCTTGTTACTGGTACCATTTAAAAAAGGTGGTGATAACACAGACTCTTTCGAAAAAGGGAAGAGACGCTGGGAAAACTGTGAATACCAAAGTGGGTGGTTAAAACGTTGAAAAGAATAAGATACCCCTCACCTAGGAATGCTATTATGTCTTTAGTGTTAAATGGCTGGATACAGGTACTTGAAATATGATTAATACGTTTTCTACGGCTTATCAATACTTTGTAGGTTATTTAAATCCAGAAAATATTTTTAGATTGTAATAATTTTTTGAGATAATAATGGTTTAGTGATACAAGTCTTACCAATTAACCTATTGCTGGGGGAAGAACAAGTGGATTCATGCCTTTCCCAAAGGTATTTACGCATAAGTGAATTTAACGGACCCAATTTGAATTTCAACACGGCTCACCGATTAACAATTCCGAGCAATTATCCATGACGTCACCCGCACTTCCAAGTTTATAGTGCCTGGTATTCTCAAACGGTTACTCATCCAGGAAGTGACCAGGCTTATTAGTTAACTTCAGTGGTACGGAAAACCGTGTTTCAATGTGATGTGGCCGTAAACCGGATATTTGAAAGACGGCTACACTCAGGAACTTTAAAGAGAATGAGATACGACTGTCAGAGGTGGGCTATTAGTGCTAAATGGTTGGATATTTTAAGGACTGACTTGAAATATGAGTGTCGGGAAAAAAGCGGAAGCTAGTAAAAGGAATTTGCCTTTTCCTCTGTTTCACGTTATTTATACCTTAGTAAATTAACGAACACCTGGAGGAAAAAAAGACGAAGATACTGTCGGTCCACTGTCAGCATGGGATTGTAAGAAGCCCGGACATTTAGTACAAATATAAAACATAACTTGTATGCGAGAAGACCGACCGATTGATAAGCACAAAATGTAACAAACTTTCTTTCAAGTCAAATAGGTTCAAGTGCGTTTTCGTGCACATTTTAATGTCAAGTCAGTAGTATATATATATATATATATATATATATATATAAAGTTACAAATTAGTGTATTCATTTACGTATAATAGAATGCCTTCTCGCATGTAACCAAATCAAATGTACGGAGTCGTTTGCGTGTGTATATCGTCCTTTACTAGCGAAAGAGGCGGACAGCTCGAGCCTATAAAACAGGAATCGACCTGCTTAAGTTCTCCCTTGAAATCAGACAGCTGCGGAGTAGAACAAGCTGGTGCATGTTGGCGACAGGCCAAGCAAAAAAAAAAAAAAAAAGACCCGGGCATTGCAACTCATTTAGCTAATACTACACGCTCCTTGGATTTACAATTTTACTCTTTCCCTCCACCGACACTTTTCTATCACTAACCCTAACTGAAATATAATTAATCCCACACCCGCCACCTACGGCTCTTAAGCTATGTCTTTTTCATTATCTATCTATCTATCTATCTATCTATCTATCTATCTATCTATCTATCTATCTATCTATCTATCTGTTCCACTCTTTTCATTATCTATCTATCTTCAGAATTTTTTTTTAATCAATTCTCCTCAACCAAGGCGATAACGCCACTGAGACGCAAGGGGCTACTGCTAGTGATCTATCTATCTATTGCAATATGTTTCTCTCTCGAGCTGAAAACTTGCTTTATCCAACGGTGTTATTGTGCTCTCTGTATCCGCTATATGATTGGCGTGGAAATAAATGGGATGCATTATTTTCTGTGCGTCCATTACACACACACACACACACACACATATATATATATATATATATATATATATGTGTGCTTTAAATGCATAATAGAAACTTTCTTTATTCAGGAAACGCAAGTTCGTATCTTGACTGAGGGCAAGTCTTCTTTATTAAGCTTTCCCGAGTTCGCAGGCCGGTAACTGAAATAAATACTGTTTAAGATAAACGAGCGTCTACTCAAATACGGGTATCTGCTAAAGAATAACATTTGAAGTATTATATATATATATATATATATTTATTTATTTAGGAAATTGATATATTATATATATATATATATATATATATATATATATATATATATACATAGGAAAATGAAACTATATATATATATATATATATATATATATATATATATATATATATAGATAAGGGAAGTCCGTCATATTGTTATTTTTCATTTATTTTATTTAAACTTTATTTTTGATGGATACTTATATTCGTTTTTTAATTAAACGGTATTTTTATCCAACTACATTTACCGGTCTGAATATTCGAGAAATCTTGTCAGAAAAATATGCGTACTCCGGGAGGAATCGAACCTGCATCACCTATGGGTTTTGTTTGACCAGAAGTCCTACGTGGACGAGCGGTCAGGCACATCAGATCTAATGGCGGTTCCCCATAGGGGATGCTGGTTTTACACGAATATGAGTATCCATAAAAAATAACGTTTAAACAAAATAAATTAAAAATAACACACACACACACACACACACAAATATACATGTGTGTGTCTGTGTGTGTTTAAAAAAAAATATGTGTGTAAAATTTCACATAGAGTATATCGTAAAAGAACAGTGTAAATAAAGACAACAGGAAAACTTATCTTAGCCGACGGGCTTTGTCCTCTGAGGCACTTTATTAAGGCAAAGATAAGTTTTCCTTTAGTCTTATATATATATATATATATATATATATATATATATATATATATATATATTGTTTTTATTACAAATACTTTCTTAAAGCGACTCCTAAATTACAACTGACACTCTAATTAAACTTTTAAGCAAGATATATTTAAATATATTCATATAATAAAAATCGCCTCCATATGTCATAATTGCTTTCATTATAACACGAAAACAAGTCAGAGGAGCAAATGTTATCTCTACTTAATTTCATTATTAAAAGCCTTGGCTCTACGAAGGCTACTGGTCCGGATAAAATCCCCGTGGTTGTTCTTAAAGAACCTTAGCCAGAATTATCACGAATCTTCTCAAAATTGTTTAACCGCTATCTGAAGAAATTTTTATCAGGTCTATAGAAGATGTCATCAGTATGTTGTTTTCAAGAGCACTCATCCCCGTCTCAATATCGCCTCTCCAAGCGCCTTTGTTTCAGCATGGTTTTTGAGTCTATGATCAACTAACGGGTTGTTGATCACTTCAATAGAAACAACCTCTCGAGCAACAAACTATGGATTTCACTGCCCTGTGTTCACTGCTGATATCTTTATTGTCATTAGCAGGGAAACAGTGAGGCACTAGACAATAAATTCATCACGAGAACAATCGCCTTAGATATATCAAAGGCTTTGACGAGGGGTAGTATAGGGGCTTGCTCTTCAAAATCTTCAGCTATCTATTGATGAGTTTTCAGTTATCAGATCCTTCTTATGAGGTAAATCCATAATGGTCTTTATTAATGGCTAGTCTTCTGAAACCCATATGGTCAATGCAGGCGTTCCCAAGTGCTCTCTTCTCGGCACTACACTCTTTCAGCTTTATATTAATGATGATATGCCTAAGGACATTCTCAGATCATTAGTAAATATCCATGAAAATGATACAACAATGTATAGGTGCACCTACAAAAATCTACATGACAATAGCCTGGCAGCTGATCTGTCTTATGACCCGCTTTCAAGAGTTCAATGGGTGGAAACTTCTAACGTTCAATACCTCCGAAACTCAGCCAGTAACGTTTTATTATAACCAAACCGATCCTGAATTTTTGCTCGTCATGATGATCAGTTCTACTCTCAAGTATGTTTCTTGCTGGGAACGTCTATGGGGACTCAAGTGGACTCCAGGCCTCAAGTTGAACTCATATATACAATCCATCGCTAACAATAAGGGTAAAATAGTCGGTTTCTTGTACCTTGTATCTGACTCTTCCTGAAATGCTCTATCTTTATCGAGGAGGATTAATATTAAATAGCCTCTCAGCATTGTTTTGATTTCTAACGAAGTTTTCTTAATACTTCGGTTAATACGCCTATTCCATTGCGCTATTCCAATACTAACGGCCATTATTTAAAGTACGGAAGCCTTTTTATGATTCCGTACTTTAAATAAATGGCCGTTAGTTTACGGTGAGATTAACGAAAAGTTTTAAGTGATTTATATTATATTTGCTATAATTTTTCACACAACAAATATATAATAGAAACTTGTGCACCTGCATATTTCTAATAATAAAAATGAATAATTGTTTATTATTAGTTTAATAAATCCTATCCGCTGTATTACGATTTAAACACATAATTAATATTGTCATATTAAAGTAAATTGCTAAAATAATCATTTTGCAAAAGGAATAAAAACTGACGTATCTTGTACTACATTTACTGATAAGAGAGTGAACATGCAGAAACTAGTAAATTATTTGCTTATTTCAACACCAAGCAATACTCTATAATGTCTAGATCATCAATTTTAATTTGTCGTAATGAAAGCTGTGATTGATTTTTAGTTTAGAATTCGCCGATCTCGACTCAGTATCTGCTAATACCAGAGGTCGCTTTTTTTTTAATTGAGCTAAAGGCTAGGATTTCGTGTGTTGATTTTCTAGTCTTGTCGGTAACCTTCGTCACTGAGGAGATTCTCTTTACACGATCTTCGTGAATGTGCGAGACATACGACTCGGAAAGAAAAATCGGTCGAGTTCATTACGTTCTTCTTCTTCTTCTTCTTCTTCTCAGCTTGTGGAGATTCTTTTGTCGGATGTGGGGCTCGCTCAGATTTCCGTTCATGGCGAGGAATGAGTCAGTCCCCTATCGCACCGACCCAAATGCGTGTTGATAGGAGTGGATATGACACACTTGGGCGATCATGCCTTTTTTTTCGATACATGGTCACCTAAGCGTATTCCTCGTATTCAAAACGGAATAGTCCATTATTTATCTGAAGTAATGACAGGGCGTAACGTACGTGCTAACAAAGTAACGAAGGAATACGCAGAATTATAATATGATTATTACTTTTTAAACTCAGTAGGGAATAACTAAAGTATTTGACAGTATATAAGACATACTTAAAAAAATAACGCTGCATCTTATAGTGATTTTCCAAGGTGCCCAAACGCTGCATCTTATATACGAAATTGAAGCCCCACGTAGGCTAATTTTGTCACCTATCCTCACTACCATAATTTATAATTTTAAATGAGACTATAAGACAAAAGACGATGGTGACATTATTTAAAGACAGTAATACTACCGTATTTTCTTGCGCATAATACGATAAATTTTGAACGAAAATTAAAATGGAAAAAGTGGGAGTGTATTATACACAAGTACATGTTTTTAGAATTTTTTTTTTTACTCAGCTTACAAAAACCTCTAATTTGAAACAGCAAGATTTCGAATACATCCAGTTAGCACAATAGATAATAAAACACAAAGTAGGCAGGTGTTGATAACAATAATTGACAAAAAGTATTGAATATGTCGGCAATATTTGTTTCTCTCTTCATTCTTAATGAAAGACAATATTTTTTATTTTATTTTCATAGTTTATTTATATATAGAAATATAATAAATGTCATATCAAACAGAAAAGCGTGATAAATTAATTAACAACTTAAAAAGTATTACTGGGCAAGTCTAGTTAGAATCGTTCCCCGAAAATTCGAAAATAAGTCTGGAAGCGGAAATTAGAAGCAATACGTAATGGCTAAACATCCGGTTCATTTCTATTATTTGATATCATGAAAAAATAAATATTTTAGCTTATAATGTACGACATTGAGATTTTAATGGATAATATGGTACAACTTTTCAAAAAAAAAAAAAAGAGAAAAAAAATTGCATAGAGATGGCTGTACTACGGGGTTGTATTTTATCCAACGATGTAATTTATTCCCGTTTTTTGCTTCAGAAACACGAGGTCGTATTATACTCAAGTCATGTTATATACAAGAAAATACGATAGTATTGATACTAGAAGTAGTCAAGACAAATATTTTGGTTGCGATGAAAAGGAAGATTTTTATGCTGTTGAAGATCATTAAAGTTTTTGTTGCAGAAAAGTAGACGTTTTTCTCATCCATTGACTCAGTTTTAGTTTATGTTCACCTGTAGTGGTAGTGTGCTTTTTATAAAACGTTTTCTACTTACAATGTTTTATTAATGCAATCGTTTAGAATATTTTCACTATTACATATTAGCTACATACAATGAATCTAGTCATGGGTGTGACGATAGACTACATCAGGCAGCAAGGTTTCTGAACGGGATATTGGATGTTTTGCGAAGTGTGGAATTATCTCTTAATAAGTGTCGTTCCCAAGCCTACCCTTACTCTGTTAAGGTCCCAGCTATGGACAAATAGTGAACACTAAAAATACCAGGAGTGCCTACTTATAATAAAATGACCATAAATACATTTTATTTATAGTTGAAGCTATAAAACTGTGTTCAAAATATTTAGATTTTGGCATTAAATAACCCATAGAAGTTGATAAACAAAATCAGCCAAACAACTAAAATGAAATAATTCTTTCGTGACGTTAATCCATATAATATCCTACAATTTCTTAAATCGAACTGTATTCCCAAGTATAACTTCAATATAACTACCACGTAAAACAGACATATCACAGCCTCTAGTAATTCTGTCCACACAAGCATGTATATGCACAAAAGCTGAGTGACATCTACCATGTATTCAATTGCGAAAGCAGAATGACATATTTTTATTACTTCAAAACTCCCAAGAAAATAAATTTCGGCATTAAATGTCCCATAAGGAGTTAATATACCGTTAAAGAAACAAACAATTATACAACGAATCGGATTTAATCTATAAATATATTAAAACATTTTTTCCTTAATGATTATACATATAATGGCAGCAACTTCAAGCGGTAGTGGGACCATTAAAGTGTAATTACGTCTATGTTTTAGCATTGGCTGCATTTGAACTTGTTTTATGTTCAGCTGTGCTGCTAGCTTGCTTTTTATGTACAGTAATGACATTTGCTATAGCTAAAGTGGATTTGTAATGTTTTTAACAAGCTTGTTTTAAACATTACAGGCTTTAATAGATTAATATTTTTCATGGATAATCCCAGATGAAACGAAAGTGCAACTAATAGGCCTATGCGTCTTTTATGCTCTCAAATACTGTACATCTCAGGGCCTTAGCAGAGACAAATAATTTTTGTGGGTGGGAGGGGAAAAAAAATTTAGAATTTAGCCTTAAGTTAAGGCCGCCAACATGGTTAGCGGCAAGAACATTTAAAATTTCCAGTACATCTAGATTGGCGGAAATCATCTTTGAAATAATAGAGAACCGTCGGTGTTACAAATGAAAGAACTTTTCATCTTTTTTGAATGCCTACAGGGAAAATATTGATTCATTAATGAAGGAAAAAAGCATTTTTTTTTTATTTATTTCTTTTTTATTTGGGTCTGAAAAAAAAAAACAATTATAAGAAAAATATTTTAAGTATTCCAATACTGCATGTTTTAGTGATTTGGGAAAGATCGTGTCTTGAAAATTTAACAAATAGGAGACTTCAATGTGATTTCTTTTCAGAAAACTAGTTTGTATCTTCTATCAAATTAAAATGAAAACGCACCCACACGATAAAGGGAAATTACTATCATCGTCCACCTTTAAAGAAGAATTCATCGAGGTTTAACCAAAGTTATATTCTTCCTTGATTTGATGGTCTTTTTTCTTGTATTTCTCTTTTTTTTTTGTATTTTGTTAAAATAGTACAATTGGTAAAAAATTTTCGGGAACAAAGCTCTCCTCTCTGAACGGCTATTACGGCCCTGCATCTTCACTTTCCATTCTGCGAGAAAGAGCAAGATAATCCTGTAAATTGACCCTCCCGATCTCCTATTAGGAATTTCTGGCAGACGAGGTTACTAGATGCGGAGAGACCCGTTGCCAGAGGAAGTCTGGTATGGGACCTGGCATGCTTATAAAATCATTTCTCGCTTTCTTTTTACCTATTATTTTCTTTTAATTCCCTGACAGTTTTTCTTTTGTCGTCATTTCTCGGTGTTTTTGTGTATTTTTTTCTTTTTTTTTTAATTTTCTATTTTTCTGAATTTTGCTTTAACATTTACAAATTCTTACGTTTTTCTGTTGTATCTCTTTTTCAGTTTTCATTATTTTAACTCCTTGTAATTCCGTCTTTTTTATTAATCAGATTTGATTTGCCCAGTCATTCGCCTTTTGTTATTTCTTCTGCCTCTTATTTGATCTTTGTTCTCGGTAAGAATCTCTTTATCCGTTCACCACTCTTCATATTATATTTCTCTTTCTACCCCCTACTCTCTCTCTCTCTCTCTCTCCCTCTCTTTCTCTCTCTCTCTCTCGCTATTTTCCATCCCTCGCTTCTCTCTAATTCCTCTTGTATTTCATCAGGGATTTTCTTTCCTTCTTGACCCACCCCTACCTTCAGGAATTTTGATTTCCTTCTCGTTATCAGTCTATCATTTCTCTCCTTCTCCTTCTCTTTCTCTCACTCTCTTCCACTGATCTCTTCCTCGGTATCATTCATCCACATCTCCATATCCGCCCCCTTCCTTCATTTCCAACTAATCCACTTCTTCCATTGATCTTCCTCCATGCGTTTGATGCACTTGCTCAATGTCAAACTGGAAATAAAAAAGCTTAACCCAAGACAATCATTTCCCGTACGATCAATATCGATGTCAAGTGTCGCTATTGATCCTAGATAGCGTCGAGGGTGGATGGATGTACTGAGAAGAGAAAAAACAGTTGATGACTCACTTTTCAGAAGATTAATATTTTCAATTTTTGGAGGCGGGCTTATCAAGAAGTAAATTAAAAGAATATCCAAGAGTTTGAGAACAGATCTGACCTACGTTTATATGATCATTGAAAGCACTGAAATTAAGCTTAATCGGCACTTAGATGGGTAAGTACTTAGGGAGACTAGATATTCGAAGCTGCTTGTGGCCTTGTCTTGGTTTTTTTTTTAAATCGGACCAGTAATTAGATTGGTGAGCGCTTATGAAGACTAGATACACTTCTGGTCTTGTGTCAGAATAAGTAAGTAAATAAAGGGGAAATTTCTTTCAAATCGGATCAATACTTGTGTGAGCGCTTAGGGACACTAGAACCAGGAAGCTGCTTGTGGCCTTGTGTCATACTAAATAAATAAATAAAAAAACTACTTTCAAATCAGATCAATGCTTACGTGAGCGCTTAGGGACATTAGATAGTTGAAGCTGCTTGTGTCCTTGTGTCATACTAAGTAAACAAATAAAGAGAGGCCCTTTCAAATCGGATCAATATTTACGTGAGCGCTTAGGAACATTAGATACTGAAAGCAGCTTTTAGCTTTGTGAGAGACGTATATCATAGCAAATAAAAAGAGCAGAACTACAAAGAAAGGTGGCAGGAGATGATAAGGTGAGATCTTGATGGGGTGGGTACAGGAGATGATAAGGTGAGATCTTGATGGGGTGGGTACAGGAGATGATAAGGTGAGATCTCGGTGGGGGTGGGTATACGTTTGATAGTGACAAATAATTAAACATAACTTTATGCGCACTTCAAACTTATCGAATTAACGCCCCGTCCCTTGCCATTTCACTGACACGAAAATAAATTGAGCAATCGATGTATCCGTGTTTTTATGCAAGTGAAATAGAAGAAAAGCACACCTATATATATATTCACTAGTTCATGCACAAATGGTAACCTATCGATTATTTGATGATGTTTTCCTCGTAAAAAAAGTAACGGTAAAAGAATTTATGTAATCTTAAGTACATCAACTTTATGTACATAAATACATATAAGGTACATAAGTACATAAAGTACATAAATACATATACATAAGAAATAAGTACATAAACCTGAAGTATATAAAGTTCCAGTTCTTTTCCCATCGCGGTAACAGAGATTTCCTGTGCCTTTTATATAAATACTTTCATGGTAATTGTTCTGATAAACTTTCCTCTATCCCCATCCCCTCCCTTGTTGGGTGCTCAGTGATGTCAGTTCTCTGGTGGATGCGGGGCATCTTTGGTTTCGGGTGTGTTTTTCGCATTTGTTGTTGTGTTTGTTGAGTGAGTGTATGAGATGAATGAATGCTTTATATTATTAAAGTCCCGCATAGATTTCGTCCGGTTAACTGATGTTTCTGACACATATAAGGATCGTGGGGGGGGGGTATTACTGACGTTATTTTGTTTAGTTTCCTGTAAATAGTTTTGTACATTTTTGTAAATATTCATTGGGGTTTAGATTTTTAAATTGTTGTTTTATTCCCCTCTCCACACACACAATGAATTGTACATATGTGGACTAGTTAGGACTTTCATAGAGACAATGAGGTATTATGGTGAATGTAGTAAGAAAGGTTTGTTTTGGTGTTAGGAATATTATGGTATGTTTAGGTCAGTGTTTGTGGCTAGCTAAGTTTAATGTTAAGGCAGATGACGACCATCATCCCCCCCATTCACTATTTTGGCCTTGTGCTACATTTTGTATTATCATGCAAATAAATATCATTTTCCTCCAAGGCAGCTAGATTTTATAAATTTAAGCGCAGTAATACATTGGCATCAAGGTCTCATCATTTTACAGTTTAAATGGCTAGATGGAACCGTAAGTTCTATGCTAACAGTTTCTTCTATCGCACTTCTCGCTTGTGAAACTTTCTTCCAGCTTATTGCTTGCCAGTCAAATTTGATCTTCAAAAATTTAAATGCAATTTCAATGTTATATTCTGTCTTCTTTCATGTTCTTTTATTGTCCTCTCTTCTTAATAGTAGTTTTTCTCATATTCTCTAACCCTCCGTAACACCTTGCGCCCTAGAAACTTTCTTACCTTACTTGGGGTGAAATGATTAAAAATAAAGAACAAATTTACATAAGATTGCGAATCTCATTGTATATTTTTCAGCGGTTGATGATGTAAGAACACGTATCTGTTAGGTGAAGGCCAAAGTTTCCAGCATTTTTTAATACACAAAGAGGGCGTTTGGTACTATACTGAAATTCATTAACCTATCTCAATTTTACTCATAAGAAACATTTCAAAATGGCCTGTTGTTATGGCTACCGGTTACATACCCAACGGAGATTTGGTCGAAAGACAGTCCACCGATTAATACTTAGTTAAGTGGACAAATGTGTTCTTTTTAATAGATATACAAATACGAAATTACAAGTAGCAAAATCTTTATGGCACAAAAGGATTTGAGTAGAGAATGAGAATAACCCATTTCCTCATTATATAAGTCGGAAACTTTATTAAAATCTCGTTCGATTTTACAAATGAATTCCTTAACTTAGGGCACAGGAGCTAACCATTAGCTAATGAAGTTTTAATGGGGCTTAGTTATTGTTCATGTGCTGTAAGTGGGGCCATGTTTCTCCTCCTATCAGATAGGAAAAGTTGCTCAGCCCCGGGTATTCCACCCTCCGGTAGCACCTTCCTCACGTTAAAACGATCACACCTTGTCTTGGTGAGGAAGCCGGCTAAATATACTTACGGTTAATCATCGGAAACAATCAGTAATTATTCCTGTTTCAGTTTAACTAATGGTTGGATGAAGATCTCTCATCAAAAATTTTAATGGTATGCCAATCACAATTATTTTATTCGCGTTTATATTTCATTATTATTTTTGATGAATTATTATGATGATTATTTATGCTAATTTTTGCGATTAGCTTAAGGGCTATCGGCACAGAAAGTGGAATCAGTGAGTGGAATTAAAATTCCTGCTTCGCCTTTTAAATTCACTTTTGCAATAATTCTTTTATTTTACTAATAAAAGGCCACTCAAGTTACGGAAGGAGATTAAGAAGATTTGTATGTGCAGTAAGAGTATGAGGTAAGAAGTGCAATTTATGAAGATATGTGGAGAAGATAACAGATTTGAAGAGGTTAAGATTGTAGTGATCAGGTTGGTTGATTTTGTTTAGCGCCAGATCAACAACTCTATGGGTTATTTAATGCCGAAATCTAAATAATTTGAATACAATTTTATTGCAACTAAATATATTTTGAATGCAGTTGTATGCCTTCAACTATAGATAAAATGTATTGTTGGTCATTTTACTATAAATATGTATTATTAGTCATTTTTTATGTAAAAATGTATTGAAGGTATTTTTACCATAAAAATGTATCTTTATACTTTCATAGTGTTTTGTTTTTGTTTTAGGGTTCACTATTAAATAAAACATAAATGGGACCCTAACAGGTGCTACCACCCCGGATGAGGGTCGACCTTGGAACAACAGCAATTAAGAAGTGGTTCCAGGCTCCTCAAAACCTCCAATCTCCTGATCAGAAGCCGTTTCGTCTGAGGGAATGATGTTGTATGGTGGAAAACAATTCATCACCCAAAAGGCTGCACAAGTGCCTTTGAATTCTGTCAAGACAGGGGACTGCAACTTCAGTCCAAATATGACTAGTATTCTATTTTCGACCTGATCTGGCTCTTGTAAAGCAGAGGGAGTCATGTACTTATTGAGACGGCACAAGGAACCGATATGAGTTCAACTTGAGATCTGGAGTGAAGTTGAGTCTCAATAGGTACCTAAGGCAAGGAAACTCTTTGAGAGAACAAACATTCACCATAATAGACGAAAGTTCAGAATCTGTTCGGTTATGATGGAACGTTACAATTTTAGTTTTTGAGGTACTGAATGTTGCAAGCCAGTTATTGCCCCATTGAGCTGATAGAACTGGTCAGAGGTAAGATCAGTTGTCAAGCTCTGGTCATTTGCTCTGGTCATTTTGGAAAAGACATGTATCCATTTCATCGTCCACTGGCCTGAGTCCATAACCTTGGCTGATGTCCCAAAAGTTCAACTCTGAATTCCAAACCGTGGAGAAGATAAGGTAAACCGCTCCACTATACTTTCCAAAAATCCATGCCAATTCACAGATAATAAAAATGGAAATCTGTGGAAAGCGATGATTGTCCTGAATGGACATGGTATTTTGAAAAAAATACTAATTTAAAGTCGTTTTGTAAGTAATTCCTACCTCCTACATCGATTTCCCAAATGGTCGGAAGTGTTGACCATGTTTGCCGTAGTCTCTGAATATAGAATCTAGTGAAGTCTGTGTTCAATATCAGAGGTTGGCAGTGAAGATTCGGAGAAAGTAGCAGCTGTTAAGTAATTCTTTAAGTCTACGATATCAGAGGTTGGCAGGGAAGATATTTTGGGAGAAAAAACAAAATGGCTGCCTTTATACACGTCGGATTGAATATTTTGAGCTTTCTGATTGGTTAACCCTTCTCTTGGTGGACTATAAAATGAGTCAGCTCATTTTGGTTGGCTCACTAGTACATAGATATATCCAAAAACTGTAACAGGAAGAACTATGAAGAGATGTTAAATCTTGCCATCTCGATAGCTTCCCACGACTTCTTGATATTTTTAGGTGCAGGATCTTGCGCGCAAATAGACTTCTCAACCATGTCCCATAAATGCTCGTTTGGACTAACGTGGTGGCCACACCATTCGTCGGAAAAATTTCACAGATGCCCCATTTTGCTTTAGTAAATAGTGTGTATGACATCTATCGGCCTGCCCATTTGAGAAATCTTAGTAAAGACAAATGCGTTAAACAGTAGGGATGGAGCATGCGTTCACTTTGTAGGGGAAACCACCGTCTGA